CAGCGACTGCTGCAGGAAGGTTATATTCCTCTTCGCAAGGAGGGGTTTTAACGTTTCGTATTGCCTTTCAACTTGTTTGTGACTAATGCACGGTTTCAAGCAAGAATAATTTCTGTGTATTCCCATCCTGTGGGCCGCTTTATCAAACCGAGCCAGACGTCGGTCTCTAAGTTGATCTGCTGGTTTTTTGTCAGTCCGCTGATCGTTAGCACCTGTTCGTTCGTGGCCCGGTGGTATCATCGCATTTCGCAGATGTTGCGCAGATGTGTTTCGTACCTAGCCGTTTCAGAAATATCAGAACTCATCCTTCCTAATGACCTCAATTTTTTTGCCTTTTTGGAGTTACATCTGTGTCTCGTCGATAGCTTCGAATAATGACAAATGTGACAAGGATGTATCTTTGCAAAGAGTGGATAAAAAACAGTTTTTCGTAAACATGATCTTAATGTTCTGAGGTGGACTCCATGGAGTTCTTAAAAAAGCACTTTCGTTGTCAGGATTTTTTGAGCTTTAAACGATGAAACTGCTCTCATTCACTTAGATTATTTAGCTCTCGTTCTTGCTCTAGATACGTTTTTCGTAATGCAGTTTGAAGTTTTAAAATCACTGTCAGCTTCCTCGACAACACCACTGTTTAATAGGATGCCACGGACGAGAGTAAAGCAGCTATATTTTCTTTTGATATGCGGGCATCACTTCTTCACATTTTAGCTTACCAAAGTGATGTGTTGCTGTTGAGCGACGTTAATGTGATACGGCTAATTTTAGTTAAGATCAACTATGACCATTCAGTGGCCAAAGCTCAGTGACGGCATTACGCATAACGTGAATCACCGGCAGAGATGTGCTCAAATCAAAGCTGATTGCAACGATGTGTAACTGGTGATGATGCCGGGTTAGGTACGTAGTAACCATGCAAATAAGTTGGTCACATTAGTTGGTGTAGTAACAAAGTAATCTGCTACGAATTCCGGAGGTATCTGATTCAAATGTACAGAAGCGGGTAATCGTTGTGTGAACTACAAATCTCCGTCAGCAAAAAATTTACTCCAACTGTTGGTAAGTAGGTGATAGGAAAACAATAATATAATAGGAAAAGTAAGGAATACTTGTGTGGTCATGCCAGAATGCTTGACGGGCACTGCCATACCGTCCAACGCAAACGCCTCTTGAGGCTGCACATTGTCTTGAGCTAAGAAGATTTCAGTATGTAATGCATCGTGTAGCAAGTTGGTGTAAGGCGTTTCCTGGTTTAAACAATCTAGACGCATACGTTGAAACTGAATAACGATGCAAACATCGATTAAAATTTTTATTCAAAATTTAATTTTCTTTATTTCAAAATAGCGAAAGCCGACATTTTTAACTTGCATAACTTTACATAAACTTTGGCAGTGATAGTGCTTTGTAAAGCCAAACGGTTTAAAGCAAGATGTCTATTTTTTTCCTAAGAGGAGGCTGCTGGTTGTCAACTTCACGAGGAACGAAGGATATTTTCGTTCACTGCGTTGGCACCCGACGGCAGTAATTTGACGTTTATCGCTATCGGGTGACACTTGGACAACAGGTGCTGTAGTTTCTCATTGGTATCTACTTTCTCCGGTAAGATCAACAGCGATTGGTCGATGCAATCAGATTTGATCGTCGCCGGCACGTAATATAGTCCTGATGGATGCAGGACGAAAACGGATAAATCGGTCAGCTTTGAACCACGGCTGGAATTGTTCCCTGCTTTGCTGCTGTCGTGTGGAGCTATGCAAATTTTGCCGTTCAAAGGATTTCCGCCGATGCATCTTTCTGCTATATTTTTGGTGCCGTTTCTGATTTGAGGATTTCGAGAGTCGTTACCGTACCGAACAATTCGTTCATAGACCACGGGCGTTTCGGCCTCAGTTTCCCAACGCTGGCAGGGTGTCTCCATCATTAATGCTTTGCCCAGTTTTGCATCCTGCTGGTCGACGATCATTCTTTCATCCGCATCGTTCGTTGCTGCAAAATGATCGTAATCAAAGCGTTTCATCGACTCATTCATGTTTCCTATGCGCATATCCAGCGGTTCTTCTGGAACTTCACGCGGTCGTTGATACTCTTCTATTCCATAGGTATTTTCCACGTAGTTAGTTGCCACGTTGTCCACCAACTTGCTTCCTGCTTGAGTATCTAAATGAATAGATTTTAAATGCCATCCCTTTGTCTATGCAACAGATGCCATAAATCGAAATCCTTAAGGTGAAGTTCAGATTAAACGGTTCATTGAGCCGATAGAAAGAAGAAGAACTTAATTATAAAAAATTGATTTTCATGTTGGTCATCATCTGTATGTGTAAAGCTCTAATGTCAAAAACTTATGCCCAGAAATTCATACCAATTCAGTGGCAGAGAGATTAATTCTTGCATGAAAGAAATAGCTTTGTAATTTAATATTCAATGATGATATTCATCAAAAATAATATGCACAGAAAGGCTTAGAAGTCAAAACACTGTTCGGAATCAATTAATCAGTTTTTTGTTCATTCACTCGATCATTTATTTACACGTTCACTCGTTCCCTCAGTTGGTCAGTCACCCAACAAACACACTGCTTGTTTTCCTTAATGACTGACTTTGTAGCCTGAAACATGGACTTCTGAATATCATTTTGCGATTTCAAACCTTTTTGAGCGTACGACAGTTGAATTGGCAGACTTTTTCGACAGTGCCTTAATTGTAATACAACAGTAAATTTCAACTGCAATGCATATTGACAATGTCGGTCATTGAGACATCATTTTCAACCAGTAGACATTGTTCTGTAGAAATAATGCAAAACGCACCAGCAGGTGAAATCTATCAAATACCAGAGTCAATTAGATCTAACCAAGTGTTCTCGGAATCTCTCGAAGCAAGAGGGTGAATTAACTTTCTGGAACTCTGTGAAACAATGGTTATCGGCACATTCCTAGAGATCGAATTCACTTTGATGCTGCAGCACCAGCCTGAAGTATTATTGAATGACGAGCTAAATGCTCTCCAAACTTTGCCATAACCCTTGTCTTGAAAAAGCGTGGTTGTTGAGTGCTTAATAAATCGGCTTTAAACCGTGTAGGTGCCGAGTTTGATTCCGGCAGAGGAACAATCCTGGTCTCAACCATGAACAATCCTTGTTCAAAACCGATAGGTCCTGAGTTCTAGCCCAAACAAAGTCACTCGCCTTTCTGCTTCTCAGGTTTAGACATGTATATTCTGTGGGAAGGTTAGAGGTCACTACTGACCATGTTTGCCACATAGCCATTGTCGACTATGCGTAACATAAGACTGTTTTAGCTTCTTCTTCTGTCGCGTGGCTCGAGATAGATCACTAACAACTTTATAGCAAGCAAGCACTCCTGGCTGGTGGTATGGACACGTAGATTCACGGATCAGCCAAATTCATTGACTTGTGGAAAGAAGGACGTCAGACCTGGCTCCATCAAGGACCAAAATTCAAGCAGA